CCAGCAACTTCCACTCATATACTTGAATATCTAATTGGATCTGTACACTGCTCAGTGGTATTGGAGTTGTGGTTGATCAACAGCGTATCTTTTAGGTCCATTGGTCTTGTTTGAGTGACACTAGCCATGCAACCGGACAATGTTGGTGAACGGCTTCATTACCAAAGAACTTGATTGGTTTGCCATTTAGCTTCCTGTGTGGCGTGATATTGTTTCCGTGGACTGGTTTAGATTCTTGTCCATGTTTCCAGGAGTCTAGCCAATTAATAGCAGCCCAAGCTATTTGAATAGCCGGATTATGTCTTCTTATCTGGCCTGCACTCCATCCGCTTGAATCCGTAAGCAGTGCAAACGCGTTGTCCCTTGCACACTGTGATAGGCATGTGACTTCTGCATGCAATCCTGGAAGAGTGTACAGTGGCAGGACGAATATTCCTGTGAAGTAGCAACATGATCTGAGTATACTCGTAGGACATCAAGTCTTGACACTACTTGTGACATGATCAATTCTGCTAATGCTCTAGTGCAGACTAGCAATAAGAGGCATTTGTCAGATACTAGTAACCATGAGGTACTGAGACGATTCTCTCTGGCAAGCCACACACTCGGCTATAAATGCTCAAAGTTAATAATCTGTCATCTGCCTGCTCCAACTTGGCTGTCCTCCTGACAAGTGAAAACCGCTGGCGTCGTCCGGGCCATAAACACCATTATTGGCATTAATCCAACGCCTCACTTGCTCCTCATCTCTGCAGGTCGTAACAATAGGTCTGGCACATCGAAAAACTGAAATATTTGGAGCTCTTAGTTCAAGCTACATTTTCAGAGTCAGGAAGTTGGAAATGGCAAGAAACCCAGCTTCCCGTCACCTTCTAAGTTGACATCACGGGCAATGACCATTATCAGCCAGCAATGTTTTACTAGAGCAAAGGCGCTGGCGCATGGCGGGAACAGAAAGCTTTCCATCCTGCAACGTTTCTTTCTCAGCAAAAACAAATAAAAAGGAAAGGAACAAAAAAGGAGCCATACCCGATACCCGGGTACCCAGGTGTAGTCCCTGGAAAGGCTCTCCCACAGATTCCAGTACAAAGGCCACGGCCAAGTGTCCCACTGAGATTCGGTCGCTTGCCCGGACCGCTGGGACGCGGACACCTCCGAAGAGCAGCCTGTGACGTTTATTTTTTTATGAAAGAAAATCCGCAAAAATAGATAAGCTTGTCCCTTTAGCCTTTCGCCAGGAAAAGACACGTCTAAAACATGGCGTCCAACATGGCGACAGAGCAACCGATAGAGGCCCGTCGTGGCTGAAGCTGCTATTGCAGCGACAGCCATCACGGCCACCATTGAATGCAGAAAATAGATCAGAAAACGAAGTCGAGCAACAGCAACTCGAACGAAGCAAAGAAAACAACAAGACTACGCGCAGCAAGCAAAGGCATAGCGATGACATCATTAGTCACGCGTGAACACAGAATCTAGCATGCAGCCTTAACAAAGCCTTGCAGGCGCTGGCGAAATAAATAATGAAGTCAAGACACAAATAAATAACACAACGAACGATCGTTGCAGGAAAACAATTACAATTCAAATATACTACTTCAAGGAAAGATGAGAAGTGAAACGACTAGCACTAGAAGAAATAGAATAGAATATAGAACAAGGACAATTGAAGCGGACTACGGATGAAGCTACAATGAGGTAAGAGGCATGACACACTGATGACAGATGTCACCACAACAAATACATAATCGTAATGTTTGTCTACACACACATTGTATCGTCACACTACACACATTGTCATATTGTCACAGGTGTGTGCTGATTTGCACTTGCAGGGCTGCGCACTCTTGTCATGGCCTTCCAGTAGAGTGCAGGCGCCTTCACACCGTTGTCCATCTTGAAACAGTTCACACTTGTCACCGCAGAAGTGCTCTTCGCATTCGAACCAATGGCCTTGTAACTGTCCATGCCGCTCTTCAGCAGTGAAACCTCGTTCTGGCTCGGCCTCCGGGTTGTAGAGTTGATGATGGATTTCACCAAGGCACTGCCTGTTTTCAATGCCGTCGTGGCCAGGCAGGGTACACACTATTGGCAGGCGTTGAATAGGCGTGACTCCCCTTCAGGATATGGATCCAATAATGACAAGTTGTCCCAGAAGGTCCTATGAGACACTTGGCTTGCCTTGGTACATGAGGTGGAGGTGCTGCTGGCAGCATCCACGTCGTAGATGAGATGAGAATGAGATGGCCCAGCAATCTTACATAGCTTGTCACAGGTGATTGCCGCATCCGGCAGTTGCACTTCTCTTCCATCCTTGTCCAGTAAGGCGATCTTGGCAAGGACGTCCGACTTGATGCTACCGTGAGTCACGGAGCAGGCAGTGCCAGTGTGATTGTGATTGTATGGAAGTGAACAGCAGTGTCCACACATGCTGCAGGACTTATTACAGCGGTGGACAACACCACAGTGGTGGGACTTGTCATGCTTTTGAAGACGGGGTGGTATGGGAATCTTGCAGAATGAGTTCCTGAAGCCGTTGGGAAATGCGGTTGCGGTGACGTTCAGAGGCTGTTCATCACCACCCGGTGAGAGAATAACACAGACTCCTGGTTCATCACAGGGCTGGTTGCAAGTGTGTTGCTGCTTACAGTGATGAAATACCAACCCGTTGGTGGTAGTTGGATACGGGTGGTTCACGCCGTAGGCACAGTATGGAGGATCATTGCTGTGCGGCAAGATACACGGCTCTCTGCAAAGACCATACCTAATCTGCTGCTCTGGAGAAGCTGGGTCTTTGAACTTCATATCAAGCCAGAATTGTTCATGAGTGTTGAAGCTCTTCATAAGATTCAGGAAGGCACCAACGATGTGTAAGTGGCCTCGTCCTCCTTTCTCGCACATATCTTGGCATGTTAAACCTCCTTCAATGTGGATCTCGCCAAGACCGACCGAGAGCTTCACGGCTGTCAGGATTTTCCCGTGCTGGACCTGATGAAGAGAACCGCTCTTGTGGTATCCAGCGTTGTGGTGTCCAGCGTGTAGTTCACAGTGACGTTTGCACAGTGGGCATTGCTCCTTGCAGGTATGAGATTCAGAAGAACACTCGTGTTTTCCACAGTGCGCTTTGCTCCCGGCTGGAAACGGCTTCACACACTTCAGTTGAAATCCGGTGGGGTTGCTTAAACCGGAGACAAGTGCCCGGCTATCCTCTGGTGCTTTCCCGTGGATAGTTGTGACATGGCACACACCATCCATGTCACAGTACCAGGGACACGGGTGCGGCTGATTACAATGGTGTAGCCCTTTGTTCTTTGTGGAGTGAACATGATCAGGTGCATTGCATTTCGCCATGCAATCACCGATTTCACACCTGTGCTTACATACAGTGTCACACTTATGGTCCGTATGCTCATAGAAGTTATCTTGCGCACAAAACACGTTGCAGTGAGGAGCGTCACATGCCATGTGGCATTGATGGTGCTCTTTGCCACACCTGCACCGGGATTCGTGATCGTGGCGGTAGAACCGACAGGCCACGTCTCTCGCGCTTTTCTCGCTCTGATTCTCGTCGCGGGAGCAGCATACACATGGCTCTGCACACTTGTGCTTGGTGGAGCAGGCAAACCAGTGGCCGCACAGCTCCCGCCCATGCTCGTCAACTCCATAGATTTGCAGTCCGGTGTACATCAGAGATGTGGCGGCGGTCGCGTTGTCTAGCTCCGGTTTATCGCTCAGCTCGTGGAATAGTTTCCCTTGGCAGTAGACGTTGGCCTTAGGTCCGTGTCGTTCCTTTGCATTGCACTTGACCGGACAGCCATCCAGGAAATCACGCTCTTCCGGGCACGGAGAGTCAAACCCAAACGACTCCCAGAATGCGGAATGTCTCTGTGACTTCTCTCTCGGCCTGCAGTGGGCATGGCCACGCCCTGCTTCCTTGCACAACTGCCCGCAAGTTCGCTCGCCAGAGACTTCGACGTTACCGCTGACACCGTTGCGAACCACACAAGAGTCATTCCGGTACGGGCCATGTTCATCGAGGCGGTGATTGCCTTTGTGATTGATATCTCGTGTGCAGTAGCGATGGCAGCCCGGACACTGGACAGTGCAGGTGTGCGTGTTCCGACAGGAGTGCTTCTCCTCGTGTTCTATCTCTCCGACAGGCTTCTTGATGTCGCACAGCAAACGATACCCATTTCCATCACTGGATCGCCGCTTGTGTTTCTCAAGATCTACCGTAGTAGGATCGGATGCAAGCATGCAGATTCCATCCTCCTCGCAAAGCTCCCGGCACACGTGACGAATGCCGCAATGATGAGGTATTGGCTTATCTTCACCACCGTGCAAGTTATCGATTGGCTTACCGCTTTTGCAGCAGTTCTCACCACAGGCACAGTTCCTGCAGCACCTATCAATACCACACCAGTGCAGCTCATGATCAGGTTGATCTTCAGAGTTATGCTCCTCGACGCGCCGTACACAAGGCTCTCCACAAAGACCGGACTCCAAAGTAGCTGGGCACGGGATGCCACAGACGTGCTTTTCAGCAGTCTGACATGAGCACACACCGCGGTGACCCACAGGCTTGGAACACCGTGAACGCTCCGTGCCGCGCATGCATTTCTCCAGTTTCTCGGGTAGAGTGCAGAGTCCGTTACACGTATGATCCGGCTCTCCGCTGCACGGGAAATAGTGGCCTATGTATACGTCGTGCTCTTTGCTGTGGCTTTGTTTTCGCTCGACACCGCCGATCTCCTCCCTCACTGCCTTTCCTGTGTAGCCTTTGTCATCTGGCTCGTATTTCTCATCAAATGCTTTATGCCACAAAGAGCCTGTGCAGTAGGATGCACTGGTCGCAGGATGTCTTGGGCATTGCATGGGGCAACGGTCAAAGTCAGCACTGCCCGCATTCGGATCAACGATATTCAGCCTCTTCCAGAAGAATGTGTGATTCACAACCTTGTGGTTGTCCCCGCCTTGTTCCCGGCGTGGAAAGAATGGCCTATGGCCAGAGGCAGAGGTGTCAAATGCGCCGGAACGTTTGGCCAGCAATGACACAATATCCTTGGACAAGATGTGTTCGTGACCCCGCATGTTGTCCTCGCCAGGGCATAGCTGATCGCATCTTGGCGGTGTATCATGGGCCACCAACTCATGCGTTCGGCCATTACGCACCCTGGCAAAGCGACTGTTTCGGATCTGTCCGTGCTCCATATCGTGCGGTCCCTCGTGGTCCCAGCCGAGACGACACACCATGCTGCACAGTGGGCAGATCTCTGTACACGTGTGATCTTTCTGTTCCTTGCCACACTGGTGATTGCCGCTATGCGTCAGGGTCATGGCGTCCAGTGTTGACCCGCAGAACATCTTATAGCCGTTCACACCGATTCGCTGCTCCTCGTCTCTGCAGATGTTGGGGTCTAACTCTGACTCCGAGTTGTTGGCTATGGCACACACACCTTCAGCTTGACATACGTCTGGACACTTGTGATCTGTGGCACCACACGTGTGTAGGTCATGGCCTTGCCCCTTGTCTATGTCGTGCAGGCAGTATTTCTTGCACCGTGCTCGAGAAGTCGGTCGAAGTTGGCACTGCTGCGCACACGTGTGCCTTTCAGCGGAGCATTTGTGTTCAGCCTGGTCATCGCCAATATGTTCGCCGTCCCTGCTGGGTTCATCATGCAGAGCATCCTTGTGGCAAATTGAGTTCCTCACCTGCGCGCGACTACCATGCGTGTGAACCCAGGCATCCTGGAACTTGCACGGCTCCTGACACTTGTGCTGTGCAGGCACGTTATCTCCTTCTTGCCAGCACTGGCAACGACGGCTCTCGTGACCTGCTCCCGCCATACACTGGCCGGGTTCGCCTCCCCTGGTCTTCTTCTCCCGACAATACGTGCAAGGTCTGCCGCAGTAATGCTTGTCTTGCTTGCCGTGATCAAACAGACAGTCATGCTTTTCGCGATGACCACGCGGCTGCAAACAAAGCAGGTGACAGGGCTTGTAGGAGCATGGCTGGTCGCAAGGCTCCCAGATCGACTCAAAGAAGCTGAAACAGGATTTGATTTCTGCTTCAAGGTAGACGGTTCGCTTTATTTCCGGCCTGTGAACGTGGGATAGTAACCTCACGGCTCTTTGCCGGCGCTTGCAGAGGATGTCCAGCGCTGTCTTGATCTGAGTGTGGAGAGCGGCCGGGCCTCGAGACCACCAGTCTTCTTCTGACTTCAGTACGGCTCTTGCGATATCAACACGCAGAGCATTGATCATGTCGCGGGCAGCATCGCTCAGCAGCTTTTTGCTGCCGTCGAGGCACTTGTCTATATCGGCACAATTCACGTCCACTTTGAAATCGAGTGGCAAGCCGGCATCCATGGACCACTTGTACTTCTGCGGTCGATGGAACGGCTCCACGACCTCTCCGTCGATTTTTAACTCTTGGGTGCCACCGGTGCAAGGTATGCCATTCCACTCTCCGCTTCTTAGCGCGGTGAACAAGAGCTCAAAAAACTCTATGGTTTCACGGTGATGGACTTGGCTGAGTTTCAGCGATGTGAAGCTAGTACAAGCAGCGGCAGCAGCACCCAGCATCAAACACAGCGAGTCGTGGAAATCGGCTGATTTGAAGCACGGCGTCGAAGGCTCGCTGAGGTGATCCGTTATACATTCCGCCACAAACTGTCGAACGCACGCCTCGCGCTGCGCTGCCTCAAGCTGAACTTCGTCATAATACCACTCATCGTAATCGCCGAAGAACTCGCTGAGAGTATCTTGATCCTCTGGGTCAAGGTGACAGAATCTCTGGGATCCATCTTCGTCGTTGCTTTGCCGAGACGTGGACAGTACGAGGAGACGGCCCGTAAACAGGCCGCTGTCGATTTTCTGCGGGTCTAGCTTGGACTCCTTCTCCTTCGGATCAACCCAGAGCGATTTCATATGCTCTTTCATCTGCTTGATAACCGCCACAAGTCGTTTGACTGCAGCCGCTGGATTGTCAGAGCAGACGATGAAGACATTGCTTAGTGCTACTGCTGGTAACAGGAGCGGCATGGCTGCGTCCTGGAAAGGTTCCTTGGATTGAGAGAGCAGATGCAAGCCTTCGAAGCAGAAGAAGCTGTGCACCCTCTTGTCAAGAAGGCGCGTGGAGAGCAGCAGTCGAGCATGTTTCCGCTGCTCCACCTCCGGTCTCCTGCCGCGTCCCGGTTTAATGGCAGCCACCTTGGCATCACCCGGTATGCTAGCGGCCATCATTCCGCCGGAGCACATGTTGGCAATAGTCATCGCACTGAGTTCGTCGTCGGTCAATACGGTTGTAACATACGCCGGGTCACTACGGTGACGTAGCTCACTTGCCAGTGGACTCACTTCGATCAGATTGTGCACAACGTCCACAAACTTAGCTCGTTGGTTGACCGGAACAGGATTGGATGCAAAGCACTGACGACATATTGCAGATGAGGCGTCACCATGGCTGCTTGCATCCTGGGGTAGTGGGTCATCGGATTCGAGTAAGACTGTTGAGAGGACGGAGAGGCTGGGACCGAGCGCCATGTTGGTGAACAGCTGGTCAAACTGGACCATCGGCTGGCGCAGCAGCCTGCGAAGATCAACTCTGTCCATCGGCTGAATGATAGGACCTTCGATGATCGGTACGTTCCCCATGTCGGTCGTGACAGCAGTGGCAGTGGCAGCAAGTGGGGTGCTTGATTGTCTGCCGTCGGTGACGTTGAAGCAGCGCCTGATGACTTCTTCCTTGCGCGCGTCGTTTTCACTTGGAAACTGTACCGTCTGGTAGGGCTGCGTGACAGCTATTGCAAGCCGCCGTGTTTGCCAGGCAAGCGATCCTTTGCAGCCGTACCACACATACTTGAATCGAAGCTTAAGAGGGTTGTTCGGTTCGAGTTGCCTGGGATGCCGTTTCAGGTTTCCGAACTTCTCCTTGAACACGATCCTGGTGCCACTCCTGGAACGGCGCATTCCCGCTGCATCTCGATCCCACGACCAGTCGTGATCAGTGAATGCCAGTAGGACAGAGTCGGACGCATCCATCGTCAGGTTGAGAAGTTGACAAGCCGTGCTGATGGGCTCATGTTCGTGCAGGTTAAGGACAAGGTACGCTTCACCCGTCGTGTCTGTGACGTTGTCCACAAAGCACAGGACGCTGGACCCTGGCTCCACGTCGACCAGGTGTGCCAGAGATTTGCTGCCGGCAATCTGGTGGCCATGCAGGATGCCTTCGATGCATTCTCGGTTCCCGGCCATTGCCAGCACTTTCAGGTTCGTGTACTTCATTGCGGATGCAGTGCCGTTGCTGTCTGCTGGCTGCTGCCCGTCGACTGCTTGTCCTCCTAGCTTGCTGGTACACTTGCCGACCTTCTTCAGGGCAATGCGCAAGTCCCTGATGGCATCCCGGTCCACCAGTATCGGTGGCGTTTCCACGATGGCAGGCACCGGCCCAGTGAAGTCCAGCTTGATGGCATGCTCCTCTTTGCCCAGTGCCGTCGAGTACCACAGTCGCTTGGCGGTTTTCTGACTCTTGCCAACTGCAGAGGGAACAAGCAACGCACGCAAAGACAGAGAGTAGGTATGAACATACAGGCTGGAATCCACTGAGTGTCGGATGCACTGCACATTCCACACACTGTCAGCTCAGCTCTTAGATATATACAAAGGTGCCATTCATTGCTCGACAATTGGTTGGGTGGAGGGGACAGGTCAAGCTCAAGATCTATAGTCCATTCAATAGAAAAAAAAGGTAAAAATCCGTTCAGAATGTGGTGGACATCACGCAACTGCATTGTAAATAAAAGGGGTTGTCAACTGGCAACCGCTCTATTCACTTTTGGCGCATGCTCTGGATGAAAATTCTTTCGTCAGTGATGTGGAAATATAATATTTACGCTTCGGGCCAGTCACCCATCGTCAGAACAATCTACAAGGGGCGAACCTGGCCTTTTATAATGAAAGCAAGCGAGAGCGTATGTATGTCCATGTACAAAAAAAAGGAAACACACAATAGCCGTATGGAATGAGTGTATGAATTTGCATGTACAACAGACAAGGAGAAGTGTGCTGATAGAGTGGGTATGCAGCAGCTCAGGACAACCATGTACAGCCTACACAGCAAGATTTAGCAGTTTCACTGTGAGGGTGCTAGCGCTTTCAATGGCCATTCGAAGGAGATATTGATCTCCTGACGACGCTTTCAAATCTCGATAGACTCCATGATTTTTCTTCTGGCCATCCGTGTTTCCACAGCCAGTACTTGGGTCTCAATGAAAATCACATCTGTGCTCTTGTGGGTGAAGGCCTAAGGGAGGAACAAGCCCGGATGCGACAAACTGGGAAGCATTTTTCTACACCGGTTGATCGTGAGCCTGAATCCAATGACCTTGCTGCACCTTCAGGCGACTTTATATCTGACGGTATTTCGAAGCGATTCACAAGTATCAATGTAGAATTATCTCGCGGGGAAAGGGAAGTCCTCGCTAAACCTCCTCGATTTACTGCTACCCAGGGAAAGATGACAGCCGTGGAGTTTAAAAAAACTAAAGACCAACAATACGGAGCATCAGCAAGTCAAATTTTCGGTTCGATTACGAGCATGTCAAAACGAAAACAAGTTGAAAATTCGAATTAAAAAAGAGGTTCAGCATGCAGCAGCATTTTCGACTCCGCCACTTAAGTTCCTTTCGAGCCTGAGAAGTAAACATTTTGAGATGCGCAATGGCCGTGGCTGTTGCAAGAGTACCTAACTCTTGATTATAGTAGCATGGCAAGTCGATTTGCTGGACTCGCTTCTCCTCTTTGCTGAAGGTCACCTGGACCGAACGGAGACTCCGGGAGTTGTTGCTGTTTCTCGCGCCCGTTGAGGATGACACGAAGCGACAGATCCTTCATCCGGTTCAGGCCATTGGCGATCGGATGTCTTTGGCTGATCTCGATGAAGAGACAGTCATCAGCCGTTTTCGCTCTAGCAAAGCTCTGCTAGAAAAGCAACACTTGTTTGTGGCTACCTTGGCTAGGTTACGACTGCGCCGTGAACAACTGCTTCATGTACTGGAGCGCTGTGCAGGAGAGTACCGCTCCATCAGTATTGCCGCTCTGTGCACATGGTGCAAGACCACTGCGCATGCACATGGAGCGCGCGAGCTGGACTCAAAACTAATTTTCTGTTTGAGGGCCTTTTACAGTCAAACCAAGCCCGAGTTTCAACTAGTTGAGTTCTGTTCCTGCCTGATGGTTGAACTTGTGAACAAGATCGACATTGTTTGAATTTGTTGTGGATTTTGTCTTTGCTATTTTCGTTCTGTCTATTCTCTCACCTTTCTTCTCTCTCACGTCTTCTGTAGAACTTCTTTCCAGTCTATCTCTCTCTTCTCTCTACTCTTCATCTCAAGAGCGTTTCTCTTCTCCATTTCTTCGTTCTTGTACTTCTCTTAACTTCTCCACTCTCTTTTCTTTTCGTTCGAATTTCCTTGAACTTGATGTGAACATGTGTTTTTTTGCACTTTGAACTGTCTTGATTTTCTTTTATGTTTTTTTGCCAAATGTACAGTGAACTGTGCGCTGTGTGTGTACAATGCTGCGCGCATAGCGATGCGCTTTCTTTGGTACAGGCTTTTTTCTGTTGTGTCCGTGATCTATGGCTTTCACTTTCTTGCAGTTTTCACCGCTTCGCTGCAATAGTTGCTGTTTCCTTGAAGGCGAACTGCGATGCCTCCATTTTCGCAGATGGTCTTGGTGCGCGAGGCGCTGAGCGGACCTCTTGGCGTTTTGTTTAGTTTCTTTTTCGGAGTTTTTCAGTTTTCAGATTTGTTGTTGTTTGTGAATGCACTTTATACAGTCTTCAAGCGAGCAGAAGTTTTCGATGTGTGGTCGTGACTTGTGTTGTTCGTACTGCCCTGAACAAGAACAAGTGCCTTTCGTGACGATTCTCGCATTTCACTCGAAAATTCGACTTGATGATGCTCTATATTGAATCAATGATTTTCGGGTTGCGGTGGGTAATGGCTCCACTTCAATTTATACAACACGCTAGCCACAAAGATCTGTTAAAAGACCCTCAGATTCGTCCGCTTGCCTACAAGGGTAAGCGTCAGTACCAGACAGACGATTTGTCCGTGGAACAGGAGGCAGGGTTAGCAAGGCTAAAGCAAGATATTTTCGCATTGTATAAGACCTATCGCCCTCCACATGTCCACAATCTGACAGAAGATGAAAAGGCCGCGAAATCATCACCAAGCAGTCCGACAAGCGAAATCCCTCGTAGTTATGGATATGCCAACATACATCGAGAAAGCGGATCGAATTATGCATGATCCAGTCTGTTATAAGCGGAGTGAGATGACAGCAGAGGAGCTGGAGAAACTGACACTGCAACAAATTGAACGTCTCGATCGTACTCAGCTCAAGGATGAATGAGTTGCTCTGATGAAGCCTCGGCACACACGCCTCCCTGAGTTTTATGAGTTACCAAAGACTCATAAACGGGACGGCAGGTGAGGATGGCGTCTTTGGTTGGCTGATGACTCTGCCTGCTACTACCGTACCTGGGACCATCTTCTACAAGACGGATTTCTGGTGTGCTGTGGGTCTGCGCTATGGCCTTTCAATGAAGGGTTTGTCTATATCCTGCGTCTGTGGGAAAGACACGACGTGCCACCACGCTATGACATGCCCCCGTGGTGGGTACCCGACTCAGCGTCACAACGAGGTGCGGGATCTGCTGGGTAGTGCGCCATCCGATGCTGCGTGTGATGTAGAGTTGGAGCCTGTCTTGCTGCCTCTCGACGGTGAGACGGTCTCGGGTACAAGAGCTGATGCAGGTCATGTGGACATACGCCTACCAGTGTGTGGCTTCTGGACACGACAGCAAATCACCATTTTAATGGTCAGGTTGCCCACCCAAGGCCAACTTTACTGTCGAGTTTAGGAGCCCCGAGTCAGTTGTCTGGCAACGAGAAGCAAAAGGTGCCGTACTCGAACCGAGTCAAAAATGTCGCCCTTGGTTTTTGCTATCAATGGCCAGTGTGTGCCAGAGGCTTCCATCTTCCCGAAGATATTAGCAGCTTGTTTAGATGAGAGGAGTCATGATCTCCCAATTTAGTGCTGAAACGATTATATCGATTACTCGTTACTTACTCGATAAGAAATAGATCGAACAGTTATTTCGATTTTATCGGCTAAACGAGTGGAATGGTACTTACGCTCGGTACGGGATTTCCCCCCTTTTGGGCGGGTCGCACAAAGCGTGCATGCACCGAAAGTACATGTATTGCGACTCGCGTGAGTACAACACGAATAATTGTACGTGACTGACTGTATAGGACACTTGCAACATCAATCACAGTCGCCGTGTTTTGAGCTGACTACTTTTCTTACATACAGCATGCAGGACGGGCAGGCTCAGTATGTGTCTACACTAGCTGCAGGGCCTAGGGGCTGGAGTTCCCTCCACGTGCGAGTAGTCTTGAGCTAAAGACAGTAAAGCGGTCTTCAGTTTCATGTTTTCCGTTCTGTCGACGGTTCCCGAACCAGTTTGCTCGGCAACGAGCTAGGCCTGGCGTCTGGGCCTATTTTGAGCATAGACAGGAAAAGTAACTAATTACTTGTTGGCACGCCTTAAGTCAGCTCATCCGTCGAAATCCGCAGATCTGCACCCCTGGCCGGCTTCTCTGACTTCATCGTCGGAGTCAGCGAAGTCACAGGCGAAGGGCACCATCAGCTCTTGGGTTGCAACCAGCGAGTTGCCTCCGTCTTGTCTGTATTCATCTGGTCAGCCCGAACAGCTGACAGACTTGTTGCGGGATCATCGAATATATGCGCCCGCTTTCCGTCGTTGGCGATGTTGGACTCATAATTTTTAGGAAATTCACAGAATGTACATGTACTGATGTAGTTACAAAAATAATCGTTTAGCCGATAAGCCAATTGTTATGGTATCAGCTAAGCCACTAAGGAAAAACGTAATCGTTTCAGCACTATCTCCCATACCCTCTTTTTATGCGCCTGCTTCGTGGGTGGGTGTGCATGCGCGCGTGTGTGTATTTGTGTGTATGTGTGTGTGTGTGAGTGTGTGTGTGTATGTGTGTATGTGTGTGAGTGTGTGTGTGAGTGTGTGTGTGTGTGAGTGTGTGTGTGTGTGTGTGTGTGTGTGTGTGTGTGTGTGTGTGTGCGAGTGTGTGTGTTCGAGTGTGTGCGTGTGTATGCATGTGTGAGTATGTGTGTATCCGTGTGTGTATGTGCATGTGTGTGTGTGTGTATGTGCATGTGTATGTGTGTGTGTATGTGTGTGTGTGTGTGTGTGTGTGTGTGTGTGTGTGTGTGTGTGTGTGTGCCTGTACGGGCGTGCACGTGCGTGTGTGTGCCTGTACATGTGTCGGGATGAGAGGAAGGAAAACCAGCAATGTGAAGATAGACTATCTAAATACTCACCGGAGGTATGCAGCAAGTGCAGTATCTGCCGATGCATCCGCTGCACAACGTCAGCATCCTTGCTCTCGCTCCACAGATGCTGGAAGAACGGCACGAACGTTTCGTTGCGACCTTCCTCAAGCCGAAGTAGTAAGTCACGGTTTAAGTCGTCTCCCTGCTTCGTTTCCAGTTCCCGTATCGTGCGCTCCTCCAAGAGATGCTGTGAGCTGACAAGATTGAGCAAGTCGGCAGCATTGATAACCTCACGCAGCTCTCGCATGTGCTTTCTGGCAACCTGCAGCAATACACGTTGGAGTGCAAGACACAGCAGGAACGTGCAACAACCATACCTAGTCATCAACACGTACATACTATATCTGTAATGTTTCTACCCAAGGGCAAACACGAGCACACGACAATACAACCAGACTTGAGTTTGCTTGGTATCAAACTAACTTACCACAAGAACATGACAAAGAATACAAAAGATCACCAATAAAATAACTGCAGAACATGAAAATACAATACGGCTGCGCAGCGTGCCAGGCGCGACCTACGTGCAATCAAGATGCACACTTCGCAGTACGCATTACTGGAACTGTGGTGTGCATACACCACAATATCTATTATACTCGGGTGCGTAGCTCGCATGGGGCACAGGCGGCATGTGCACCCCACCCACCCACCCTCGCAAAATAATTCGACCTCCGTTCAGCATGCACATAATGACCATGGAGGACATGCACCAGACATCCTACATATATTATGCGGCCGTGCCCCCCCCCCCCCCCCCCCTAGAACGAGGATAAGGTACGCCCTGTAATACTATACGAGTGGAAGGTTTGATTGACTTCTCGTGTGCTCTGGATGGCAACCGTGAGTCATTCAAATGTCAGGTCAAGTCGGCTGAAAGCACTCATCAGGTCACTTCTCTGAAACTGACAATAATACAACCGTTTCGTATGTCACCTGACGCATCTGTTGACAGTTCCTCCCCATTGTTTACGGTCATGAGATTGGGTCTGGGCGTTGCTGATGACAAGCTCAACAATCTTTAGATCTCTTCGGACAGTACCAGTCCAACGCATTAGGGTCTGCATGGTCTCTGAAATTGTGCTTCGATAAATCCCAAACAATTGCCAGATACAGCTACGATGGAAATGTTATACATACCTTGCCTTTCTCCTCATCTATGGGTTATGAGCATTGCAGCCACGAAAACCATTTCCCTTCGCAAATTACCTGAGCAGAGTTGGCCAATTGCGGGGTGGGGGTATACTTGTATTATGTCGTTGTTACTCCACAAGGGTATGCTAGCACTGGCGCGCAACATAATATTATCATGATAATCATTTCCCATACAAAACTCGCTATCCGCATTCTGCAGCAGTTCTCACCTCGTTCCAAAGGTCATCGTAGCGTTCCAGAAAAACTGGGTCTTCCAGAACCTTGTTGACATCCTAGTAGAACCAACAAGATCAGGAAAAGAAGAGGGGAAAAAGTCGGGAATGTTACAAATAATCGTATTCCAATACGTTTCACCATCCACGAGCTAAACCAGTGCAGATGAGTACCATTCTTCAAACTTGGATAAAATTATTCACTGAATAAATATTCTGCTTTGACTGCAGTCCACAGTTATTCTGGAGAGTGTCAGCACTACATGTACAAATATGTACAGGGATTTGGCACTCGGCACAAACTACCGTACCATACAAACTTACAAAGACAAAATTTATGCGAGCTCCCATGTAGGGAGCGACGCACAATTCTCCCAGTATTGCTAAAGTCCCAACCACCTCTTCTTCACAATACTGATACTACTCCTTAAATACATGTTCTAAGGACGCTTCAACTCCACTGCAGCATTTTCTTTCCACTTGCAAGCACCTCCATTCCTCGAACAAGGTCTTAGCTGCACGAAAAGAATGAAAACTACTGGCAGCTGAGAGCCTGTTCCGGGAATAGAGGTGCTTGCAAGTCCCAAATTACCACGAAATCAAGTCACAGCTGTGTAGCGTGGTGGTACTCGTGAATTTATTGTGTGTCATGGGGACTTTTTGAAGAACCAACTTTATAAAGTTCGAAGAAGGGCTGAGGCTTCCTGCAGCTTCATCTCTGAAAGAAATTCGGGTGGACACACCCATTCCCATGCCGCTGCACATCCGAACCAGTTCCGTTATTTTACAACGTTTCGGCACTTGGCCATCGTCAGGTAATAACAATGAATACCGTGGAAGCCACACAAGAGCAGTATATATACGCAGAGTGTAGCGCCAAAAAAAGATGCGAACTATGTCACCTAGTATGCAGAAGGGGGGGGGAGCAGAGAGAGAAAAGGTGCAACTAGCACATCACGGAGAAGAAGCAGCAGAATGTAGCACGTTGTGCTCTGTGAAGTGAGGGCGCGTGCCATGGCGTTACGCAGAGTGTAGTGCCAAAAAAAGGGATGCGAGTTATATCACCTCTTTGCAGAGGGGGGAGAGAACGTGCAACTAGCACATCACGGAGAAGAAGCAGCAGAAGGTAGCGCGTTGTGCTCTGTGAAGTGAGGGCGCGTGCCATGGCGTTACGCAGAGTGTAGTGCCAAAAAAAGGGATGAGAGTTGTGTCACCTCTATGCAGAGGGGGGGGGGGGGGAGAGACAAGGTGCAACTGTGCACGTCACGGAGAAGAAGCAGCAGAACTGAAGACAGCGCGCCATTGTGCTCTGCGAAGTGAGGGTACATGCGAAATAATTATGGTGTTAATTCTAGCACATTACAGGAGGGGAGCACGGAGGCCCATGCGCCAATGCACTATGAGGTTAATCACAGCAGAGCAGACAACTGCGAAATCCCACACGTCCATGCCAAACTGTTACCACCAGAAACGCGACGAGGCATCAGGAACAGAATGGATTAGAGTGACCCGCCTCATGTTATATTCAGTGATATAAAAAAAAAAGAGTAGCAGCAGGGGAAGCTGAGAAAATTCACAATAAATCCCATCCGGTGCTTATGTTGACATGGGGCACGCGCCCTCACTTCACAGAGCACAACGCGCTACATTCTGCTGCTTCTTCTCCGTGATGTGCTAGTAGCACCTTCTCTCCCTCTGTCCCCTCCCCCCCCCCCCCCTTCTGCATACTAGGTGACATAATTTGCATCTTTTTTTGGCGCTACACTCTGCGTATATATATATATATATATATTATACTGCTCTTGTATGGCTTCCACGGTATTCATTGTTATTACCTGACAATGGCCATGTGCCGAAACGTAAAATAACGGAACTGGTTCGGATGCGCAGCGGCATGGGAATGGGTGTATCCACCCGAATTCCTTTCAACTTAATAAATTGAAGCTAACTTACAGTTGCGAAGTAGTTCCACTGCTCTCCCCCGTGGCTGTGCAAATAAAAGAAAAGCAAAACAAAACTGAAGGTTCACTGTGTAGGGTGAAGCGTGTACCGAGATTTCTTGCCTCAGCACTCTAGAAGAAACTAAGCGAGTCTTCAAGCGATCTCAGTCGAGTATTCATTTCTTTTATAGTATCACATATTCTTGTTGAGTTGTGTATCACTGTGGCAGTTCTGCACGCTGCCCTTGAAGTATGGTACTTAGTTTAGTTAGTATCCCTAAGCTGCACACCACCTGTGACCTATGCTGCCAGTGCTAGAACAGGGAGACATCTCCTGCTCCTTGCATTTATTGCATGCTCAATTAACAGCTGCTTTCTAAGCACTTTCGAGTACATGCACTCTTTTCAGAACGACTACTCGGTCGCAAAAATGTTTCGAGCAAGTACTCATTTCACCCAATCATGAAATCCTTCGTGCGCAACTGACGCGATCAGATGAAACGTTTGACACCCCACTCAACATGGAGCAACGTGGTGAGTTTGGTGAGGTGTTCAGCTCAGTTAGGTAATTGGAGACCCGAGCTCAACTGTACTCGAAGTACCAGTATGTCAGTTTCATGCCAAACCTATGCTCTTCAGGTTTCTAGTCAGGTAAATATTCAGGGGGGGGGGGGGTTGCAGGGAAACAGTTACCCAGCAACCCATTTTTCCACTTTCCAGAATTGTCTTGCCAGCTTAAATGCACCATACCCCGACTTCAATCCAGACAAATGTAGGTTTGCAGCGTACGGCAAACCGTAGTTATCGCTGACAACCGAGCAGCAGGCAAAAGCCACGCGCGCGGCTAGGCGCGCAACAATGGGGGTGTCTGGCATGCAATGGCGGGCAGCCGCACTGGGGAAAGCCCAGGCCGCAGTACGAGTACGCCCATATGCGCGGGCGAGACTACCCCATATTTGCATAAAGGTATCAGCGCTACTAATGCAATGTTTACTACAAGCGGGGCTCATGGCGCCTAATCTCTATATTAGGAAGCAGTTCCTTTCATGGCACGAAAGGACTCCAGCGCGCGTACTAAGCCTCAGCCAAGGTACAGTACTAACCGAGTACGCAAGATAGAACAGGCGGTGTGGCGGAGCAAACATACCACGTATGGAAGAGGCGAGGTCCCCGGATGCCGCCCGGTCCACAATGACAGACACCATCATGCTTATATGGGAAATAAGGCGCGAGAGCCCACCAGGTTAGGCGGGCCGCATAAGCACGTGGCAAGCGCAAATAGCGTAAGACGTACCCACGAGGCCACAACGCGAGAGTACGGCAGCATGAGCAGAGTACGAGAGTACGATGCCGGATCAACGCAGGGCGGACCAAGGTGTGGTAGTGCCACAGCACGAGGCACCTCACCAGTTGGAGGTGGCGAACGCAGGGACAGCATCAATATTGGCAGCTAGCAGCAGCAGCAGATGGGCGTGATTTTTTTTTCTTCTTCAAGACTAGCAACGAGGAGCAGCAGGCAACCCTCGTTTCACTCGTGATTGCTTAATCACATGGCAAAAACAACAAAAATGCAACCCCATTCTATGGTGCTATGATGTGTGTGTCTCGGGGGGAGGGGCGATAAGTGTGCCTTTGCGAAAAGTCTGTTAGTGACTCTCGACTGCATTTTTCGTCGAATGACCTGAAAACTAAAAAACGACAAATGAGTAGGGGGGGGGGGGGGGTGGGGGAGTGCCACTTTTTCACACGAGGGCACTCAATCTGGGTAGGGGGGATGCCGTTCAAGGGGGGGGGGGGGGTTCCGGGGGCCTCTCGCGTGAAAATGTTCAAAAATGAAGCAAAATCCTTCATTTTGAGCGAAAAGGGGGTTCCGGGCACCCAGGAACCCATACGGGGCACGCGCCTGGGGGGGGGGGGGGGGTGACCCCTACTCAGATCGAGTGCCCTCCTGCTCTTGTCACCAGGTAACAACTCACCTGATGGGATTCTGTTCCTCCACTGCATCCGTCAGGAAATGCACCACCGTACGTGTACATGTAGGCACATAGGCACACGCAAAAACACACACACGTACACACACACACGTACAAAAATGTACACATATACACATACATACACACACAAATGTACACACACACATAAATACACACATGCGTACATACACATAAACATGCACACACACAATACGAACACTTGAATTCATGCACAAACATACAAACATACTTATGCATGCATGCATGCACACATACTTAGTCTCTCCAATAGCACACTGATTCCAAACTTTACAATCGGCACACCAAGAAAATTGTTCGCTAAAAATCCCCAGTTTCCTTTCAGCAAACATTCCAAGGTTCCCCAAGGATCATTGCAGAATATATACATGTACGAGTATCATACCCTTGTCCGAACACTGATTGTCTGCCATTTGAAATTCAGAACTCTCTATGCATCCAACACAGTGATAACGAGTTGGAAGTGGACACGACCCAGGTACTGCCAATGGAAGGGTGGAGTGGGGTGGGTGGCTATACCAGTCTATTCTAGAGGCAGACAATTCTATTTTTTGCATTCAGAAGCACTCTAATCATTTCGACATGCACTTGTTTCTCGGGAGCGTTTTTTTGTGTATTCAGACCTTCCCGTTTCCCAACGGACACGAAGCAAGCAAATCCAAGTGGAAGCAATCTCTACTTACCACGCTTTCTGTACAGTTCTATGAGCCGAGATTTTATCTCCTGCACAACTGGGAGAGTTCGCTGGTGGACCCAGAGTTGCTCAAAGAAGGGTACAAAAGTAGCATTGTGGCTTCTCTCCAATATCTCCATCAGCTTCTCACTCTTGCCGAAGTCGGTGCCCTCTGCAAGGCTTCGAAGATCTCTTGGAGACAGCCATTCCTGAAAATAGTTGATCATGTCTTTCACCCTTAGGTTTTCAGCAAGCTTGTCCTTGCACAGACCAGCAGCCTACAGGATGCACACAAGATAATAGAATGTAGAATTCGAACGGTTTGACTGGATTAACACAAGAAGCAAGAGCACCGCCAGACTCAAATTCAAAAAGAAGCACACACACACACTCAAGGTGGAAGACTTCAGGATCTCTATGTGGGATAGTCTAAGTGCCTATAAAGAGGACAGTGGAGAGAGGAAAGCGAAGGAAATAAGGCAAGAGATACTTTGGGTGAAATGATAGGAAATGTTTGGAAGCAGGTCAAGAAAAGATGAGAGTAAGATGCTGGTGACAGGGTGGGTAGGATTAAGAGGAGATCTGACTTGAACTTAACCACACACCCCACACATGCAATACCGCCGTGGATATCCGCCCACATGGCTTTGCCAGTTAGGCCGATATAGGCCAGTGTCACCCTCCGACTTTTTCAATCATACATACACACAGTTCGACCTGTGATTCAGTTGAGCCTGCATCCCCCCCCCCTTAGGTACAGTAAAACTGCCCTCATCCAGGCAGGTTTGGACCGAGAACTGCCCTTATCCAGGCAGGTAGAGACCGAGAACTGCCCTTTTCCAGGCAGGTTCGGACCGAGAACTGCCCTTATCCAGGCTGGTTGGGACCGAGAACTGCCCTTATCCAGGCAGGTTGGGACCGAGAATTGCCCCTATCCAGGCAGGTTCGGACCGAGAACTGCCCTTATCCAGGCAGGTTCGGACCGAGAACTGCCCTTATCCAGGCAGGTTAGGACCGAGAACTGCCCTTATCCAGGCAGGTTTGGACCGAGAATTGCCCTTAACCAGGCAGGTTAGGACCGAGAACTGCCCTTATCCAGGCAGGTTTGGACCGAGAACTGCCCTTATCCAGGCAGGTTTGGACCAAGAATTGCCCTTATCGAGGCAGGTTTGGACAGAGAACTGCCCTTATCCAGGCAGGTTAGGACCGAGAATTGCCCTTATCCAGGCAGTTTTGGACCGAGAATTGCCCTTATCCAAGCAGGTTCGGACCGAGAACTGCCCTTATCCAGGCAGGTTTGGACCGAGAACTGCCCTTATCCAGGCAGGTTTGGACCGAGAACTGCCCTTATCCAGGCAGTTTTGGACCGAGAATTGCCCTTATCCAAGCAGGTTCGGACCGAGAACTGCCCTTATCCAGGCAGGTTTGGACCGAGAACTGCCCTTATCCAGGCAGGTTTGGACCGAGAATTGCCCTTATCCAGGCAGGTTTGGACCGAGAATTGCCCTTATCCAGGCAGGTTTGGACCGAGAATTGCCCTTATCGAGGCAGGTTTGGACAGAGAACTGCCCTTATCCAGGCAGGTTAGGACCGAGAATTGCCCTTATCCAGGCAGTTTTGGACCGAGAATTGCCCTTATCCAAGCAGGTTCGGACCGAGAACTGCCCTTATCCAGGCAGGTTTGGACCGAGAACTGCCCTTATCCAGGCAGGTTTGGACCGAGAATTGCCCTTATCCAGGCAGTTTTGGACCGAGAATTGCCCTTATCCAAGCAGGTTCGGACCGAGAACTGCCCTTATCCAGGCAGGTTTGGACCGAGAACTGCCCTTATCCAGGCAGGTTTGGACCAAGAACTGCCCTTATCCAGGCAGGTTTGGACCGAGAACTGCCCTTATCCAGGCAGGTTTGGACCGAGAACTGCCCTTATCCAGGCAGGTTTGGACCGAGAATTGCCCTTATCCAGGCAGTTTTGGACCGAGAATTGCCCTTATCCAAGCAGGTTCGGACCGAGAACTGCCCTTATCCAGGCAGGTTTGGACCGAGAACTGCCCTTATCCAGGCAGGTTTGGACCAAGAACTGCCCTTATCCAGGCAGGTTTGGACCGAGAACTGCCCTTATCCAGGCAGGTTTGGACCGAGAACTGCCCTTATCCAGGCAGGTTTGGACCGAGAATTGCCCTTATCCAGGCAGTTTTGGACCGAGAATTGCCCTTATCCAAGCAGGTTCGGACCGAGAACTGCCCTTATCCAGGCAGGTTTGGACCGAGAATTGCCCTTATCCAGGCAGTTTTGGACCGAGAATTGCCCTTATCCAAGCAGGTTCGGACCGAGAACTGCCCTTATCCAGGCAGGTTTGGACCGAGAACTGCCCTTATCCAGGCAGGTTTGGACCAAGAACTGCCCTTATCCAGGCAGGTTTGGACCGAGAACTGCCCTTATGCAGGCAGGTTTGGACCGAGAACTGCCCTTATCCAGGCAGGTTAGGACCGAGAATTGCCAGTATCCAGGCAGGTTAGGACCGAGAACTGCCCTTATCCAGGCAGTTTTGGACCGAGAATTGCCCTTATCCAAGCAGGTTCGGACCGAGAACTGCCCTTATCCAGGCAGGTTTGGACCGAGAACTGCCCTTATCCAGGCAGGTTTGGACCAAGAACTGCCCTTATCCAGGCAGGTTTGGACCGAGAACTGCCCTTATGCAGGCAGGTTTGGACCGAGAACTGCCCTTATCCAGGCAGGTTAGGACCGAGAATTGCCCTTATCCAGGCAGGTTAGGACCGAGAATTGCCCTTATCCAGGCAGGTTAGGACCGAGAATTGCCCTTATCCAGGCAGTTTTGGACCGAGAATTGCCCTTATCCAAGCAGGTTCGGACCGAGAACTGCCCTTATCCAGGCAGGTTTGGACCGAGAATTGCCCTTATCCAGGCAGTTTTGGACCGAGAATTGCCCTTATCCAAGCAGGTTCGGACCGAGAACTGCCCTTATCCAGGCAGGTTTGGACCGAGAACTGCCCTTATCCAGGCAGGTTTGGACCAAGAACTGCCCTTATCCAGGCAGGTTTGGACCGAGAACTGCCCTTATGCAGGCAGGTTTGGACCGAGAACTGCCCTTATCCAGGCAGGTTAGGACCGAGAATTGCCAGTATCCAGGCAGGTTAGGACCGAGAACTGCCCTTATCCAGGCAGTTTTGGACCGAGAATTGCCCTTATCCAAGCAGGTTCGGACCGAGAACTGCCCTTATCCAGGCAGGTTTGGACCGAGAACTGCCCTTATCCAGGCAGGTTTGGACCAAGAACTGCCCTTATCCAGGCAGGTTTGGACCGAGAACTGCCCTTATGCAGGCAGGTTTGGACCGAGAACTGCCCTTATCCAGACAGGTTTGGACCGAGAATTGCCCTTATCCAGGCAGGTTTGGACCGAGAACTGCCCTTATCCAGACAGGTTTGGACCGAGAACTGCCCTTATCCAGGCAGGTTTGGACCGAGAACTGCCCTTATCCAGGCAGGTTTGGACCGAGAATTGCCCTTATCGAGGCAGGTTTGGACAGAGAACTGCCCTTATCCAGGCAGGTTAGGACCGAGAATTGCCCTTATGCAGGCAGGTTTGGACCGAGAATTGCCCTTATCGAGGCAGGTTTGGACAGAGAACTGCCCTTATCCAGGCAGGTTAGGACCGAGAATTGCCCTTATCCAGGCAGGTTTGGACCAAGAACTGCCCTTATCCAGGCAGGTTTGGACCGAGAACTGCCCTTATGCAGGCAGGTTTGGACCGAGAACTGCCCTTATCCAGACAGGTTTGGACCGAGAATTGCCCTTATCCAGGCAGGTTTGGACCGAGAACTGCCCTTATCCAGACAGGTTTGGACCGAGAACTGCCCTTATCCAGGCAGGTTTGGACCGAGAACTGCCCTTATCCAGGCAGGTTTGGACCGAGAATTGCCCTTATCGAGGCAGGTTTGGACAGAGAACTGCCCTTATCCAGGCAGGTTAGGACCGAGAATTGCCCTTATGCAGGCAGGTTTGGACCGAGAATTGCCCTTATCGAGGCAGGTTTGGACAGAGAACTGCCCTTATCCAGGCAGGTTAGGACCGAGAACTGCCCTTATCCAGGCAGGTTTGGACCGAGAATTGCCCTTATCGAGGCAGGTTTGGACAGAGAACTGCCCTTATCCAGGCAGGTTAGGACCGAGAATTGCCCTTATCCAGGCAGTTTTGGACCGAGAATTGCCCTTATCCAAGCAGGTTCGGACCGAGAACTGCCCTTATCCAGGCAGGTTTGGACCGAGAACTGCCCTTATCCAGGCAGGTTTGGACCGAGAATTGCCCTTATCCAGGCAGTTTTGGACCGAGAATTGCCCTTATCCAAGCAGGTTCGGACCGAGAACTGCCCTTATCCAGGCAGGTTTGGACCGAGAACTGCCCTTATCCAGGCAGGTTTGGACCAAGAACTGCCCTTATCCAGGCAGGTTTGGACCGAGAACTGCCCTTATCCAGGCAGGTTTGGACCGAGAACTGCCCTTATCCAGGCAGGTTTGGACCGAGAATTGCCCTTATCCAGGCAGTTTTGGACCGAGAATTGCCCTTATCCAAGCAGGTTCGGACCGAGAACTGCCCTTATCCAGGCAGGTTTGGACCGAGAACTGCCCTTATCCAGGCAGGTTTGGACCAAGAACTGCCCTTATCCAGGCAGGTTTGGACCGAGAACTGCCCTTATCCAGGCAGGTTTGGACCGAGAACTGCCCTTATCCAGGCAGGTTTGGACCGAGAATTGCCCTTATCCAGGCAGTTTTGGACCGAGAATTGCCCTTATCCAAGCAGGTTCGGACCGAGAACTGCCCTTATCCAGGCAGGTTTGGACCGAGAATTGCCCTTATCCAGGCAGTTTTGGACCGAGAATTGCCCTTATCCAAGCAGGTTCGGACCGAGAACTGCCCTTATCCAGGCAGGTTTGGACCGAGAACTGCCCTTATCCAGGCAGGTTTGGACCAAGAACTGCCCTTATCCAGGCAGGTTTGGACCGAGAACTGCCCTTATGCAGGCAGGTTTGGACCGAGAACTGCCCTTATCCAGGCAGGTTAGGACCGAGAATTGCCAGTATCCAGGCAGGTTAGGACCGAGAACTGCCCTTATCCAGGCAGTTTTGGACCGAGAATTGCCCTTATCCAAGCAGGTTCGGACCGAGAACTGCCCTTATCCAGGCAGGTTTGGACCGAGAACTGCCCTTATCCAGGCAGGTTTGGACCAAGAACTGCCCTTATCCAGGCAGGTTTGGACCGAGAACTGCCCTTATGCAGGCAGGTTTGGACCGAGAACTGCCCTTATCCAGGCAGGTTAGGACCGAGAATTGCCCTTATCCAGGCAGGTTAGGACCGAGAATTGCCCTTATCCAGGCAGGTTAGGACCGAGAATTGCCCTTATCCAGGCAGTTTTGGACCGAGAATTGCCCTTATCCAAGCAGGTTCGGACCGAGAACTGCCCTTATCCAGGCAGGTTTGGACCGAGAATTGCCCTTATCCAGGCAGTTTTGGACCGAGAATTGCCCTTATCCAAGCAGGTTCGGACCGAGAACTGCCCTTATCCAGGCAGGTTTGGACCGAGAACTGCCCTTATCCAGGCAGGTTTGGACCAAGAACTGCCCTTATCCAGGCAGGTTTGGACCGAGAACTGCCCTTATGCAGGCAGGTTTGGACCGAGAACTGCCCTTATCCAGGCAGGTTAGGACCGAGAATTGCCAGTATCCAGGCAGGTTAGGACCGAGAACTGCCCTTATCCAGGCAGTTTTGGACCGAGAATTGCCCTTATCCAAGCAGGTTCGGACCGAGAACTGCCCTTATCCAGGCAGGTTTGGACCGAGAACTGCCCTTATCCAGGCAGGTTTGGACCAAGAACTGCCCTTATCCAGGCAGGTTTGGACCGAGAACTGCCCTTATGCAGGCAGGTTTGGACCGAGAACTGCCCTTATCCAGACAGGTTTGGACCGAGAATTGCCCTTATCCAGGCAGGTTTGGACCGAGAACTGCCCTTATCCAGACAGGTTTGGACCGAGAACTGCCCTTATCCAGGCAGGTTTGGACCGAGAACTGCCCTTATCCAGGCAGGTTTGGACCGAGAATTGCCCTTATCGAGGCAGGTTTGGACAGAGAACTGCCCTTATCCAGGCAGGTTAGGACCGAGAATTGCCCTTATGCAGGCAGGTTTGGACCGAGAATTGCCCTTATCGAGGCAGGTTTGGACAGAGAACTGCCCTTATCCAGGCAGGTTAGGACCGAGAATTGCCCTTATCCAGGCAGGTTTGGACCAAGAACTGCCCTTATCCAGGCAGGTTTGGACCGAGAACTGCCCTTATGCAGGCAGGTTTGGACCGAGAACTGCCCTTATCCAGACAGGTTTGGACCGAGAATTGCCCTTATCCAGGCAGGTTTGGACCGAGAACTGCCCTTATCCAGACAGGTTTGGACCGAGAACTGCCCTTATCCAGGCAGGTTTGGACCGAGAACTGCCCTTATCCAGGCAGGTTTGGACCGAGAATTGCCCTTATCGAGGCAGGTTTGGACAGAGAACTGCCCTTATCCAGGCAGGTTAGGACCGAGAATTGCCCTTATGCAGGCAGGTTTGGACCGAGAATTGCCCTTATCGAGGCAGGTTTGGACAGAGAACTGCCCTTATCCAGGCAGGTTAGGACCGAGAACTGCCCTTATCCAGGCAGGTTTGGACCGAGAATTGCCCTTATCGAGGCAGGTTTGGACAGAGAACTGCCCTTATCCAGGCAGGTTAGGACCGAGAATTGCCCTTATCGAGGCAGGTTTGGACAGAGAACTGCCCTTATCCAGGCAGGTTAGGACCGAGAATTGCCCTTATGCAGGCAGGTTTGGACCGAGAATTGCCCTTATCGAGGCAGGTTTGGACAGAGAACTGCCCTTATCCAGGCAGGTTAGGACCGAGAATTGCCCTTATCGAGGCAGGTTTGGACAGAGAACTGCCCTTATCCAGGCAGGTTAGGACCGAGAATTGCCCTTATGCAGGCAGGTTTGGACCGAGAATTGCCCTTATCGAGGCAGGTTTGGACAGAGAACTGCCCTTATCCAGGCAGGTTAGGACCGAGAATTGCCCTTATCGAGGCAGGTTTGGACCGAGAACTGCCCTTATCCAGGCAGGTTTGGACCGAGAACTGCCCTTATCCAGGCAGGTTTGGACCGAGAACTGCCCTTATCCAGGCAGGTTTGGACCGAGAACTGCCCTTATCCAGGCAGGTTTGGACCGAGAACTGCCCTTATCCAGGCAGGTTTGGACCGAGAACTGCCCTTATCCAGGCAGGTTTGGACCGAGAACTGCCCTTATCCAGGCAGGTTTGGACCGAGAACTGCCCTTATCCAGGCAGGTTTGGACCGAGAACTGCCCTTATCCAGGCAGGTTTGGGCCGAGAATTGCCCTTATCCAGGCAGGTTTGGACCGAGAATTGCCCTTATCGAGGCAGGTTTGGACCGAGAATTGCCCGTAACTCAGAACGTACAATACGTTTAAAATACTGTAAGTTAAAAGATATTTAGCTCATCTCCATATTCGGCTATTTTCGTCCTGTGCATTTTTTGAAAGTTTTGTTTTCAAGGTTCAATGTGACAGTGTGTACAGGCAGCAGCAGCACAGGCTGAAATTGCAATGCGCCGTAAAAAGGCCCGTAATGTGTTTGAGCCCTGGGCGGCAGAAAATGATTTTAAGCATACCGAAAATTTGCAGACCAACGCTACATGTACTTGGTCCGTGTGAGCAATATTGTCGCTTATCTTTCGACAATTTGAACTTAGACTTTGGACATCAACGCGTACACTTGAGAAGATAAAACTTGGTATGATGGAAGGTAAGGTACAGAATGACAACTGGTCATGTGGAATTTATTGTCCAAGGAAGGGTTCATACTTTTTTGGTCCTCCTCGTCCCTGCTCTCGGCGCTGGTGACAAATATTATTTTACTCGGGATAGACACTCTCGCTTTCGCAAGCTCATCTCTCTTCCTCTCCGCTGCCTGGCTATTTTCTAAAGGGAAGTCGACCGTGACAATCGCCTTCTCTAA